AGGGTTCAACGTGAACAAATCATGGCCAAACAACAAGAAATGGAGAATGCAAGGCTCAAAAACAGTGGGAGGGCTCCCAAGGGATCCAAAGATGGTCTTAGGCCAGAGAGTCCTCATAGTCGAAGGCCAAGAAGGCCCCCGGTTAGGAAGATGGTCCAACCTGGTAGACCAAAATTTGAGGTAAATGACAAGTATAAATGATTATTATTATTACCCCAGCAAACTTTCCGTCACTATTATGCAAGGAAAGGAAAAGTGTGTTGTTGTTGTTGTTGTTGTTTCTCTCACGTGTTCGAGCCCAATTCAACGAAGCACGCACGAACAGTTGCAAGGGTGCTTTGTCGTCGAAGTGCTGTTAATATAGGTAACAACATGATTTCGAGTGCAATTTGGTGTTAAAAAGCACAAGTAAATTTTTCAAGGACAACAAAATTGCACGAGCCCTTAGGGCGCTTGCAATTTGTAGTCTTTGAAAAATTTACAAGTGCTTATTTACACCAAATTGCACGAGAAAGCATGTTGTTACTTGTTAATAAATTACATGAAAAACGCATCGCAGAAAGTCAAGACAGACGAAATTTTGGCAGCGCGCGCTCTTTGTAATTTGCACTCGTGTTACATGAAAAATGCACTCGTTTTCAGCAAAAGAGACGCGCGTAATTTGTTCATTCACATTATTACCTCAGATATACAAGCAGTACTATGTTACAGATCTTGCTGTAAGGAACGCGGTGGCGTGATGGCTAGTGCGCTGGTTCGAGAACTGACCGGGTGAATAGGCTGTGTTTTGGGGTAAATACTTAACTCATACATTGCCTCTCCCTCAACCCGGAGCACAAGTGGGTACTGGCAATTTTTCAGGGAAGCTTGATGAAATGCTGATAATCTTGCGATGGAGTAGCATTCCATCCGGCGGGAGTAGCGATACGCTTAGTCGCCCGGTTAAGCTCCGGCTGAGTGCGCCACTTGAGTCTAACACAGACTTCAACAACACCCTGCGTAACACTGACACGTCAAATTTTTATTCAGATTGGCAGAAGAACCGGCCAGGAGCAAACGGACACCACCAAACCAATGACGATATCAGAGGAAGAAGAATTGGAGAGAGTCACTTCCCTTCTTCAGCGGGATAATCTGATAAGAGGGCTGGGTGTGGTCGAGTTTGTGTACAAACTGTTACACTGCACACCCGGAACTGGAGGACCACAGAAAAACTGCTCTTTACATCACTCGGTGAGTTACAAGCGTAACCATCTGAAGGGAAATGTAACACCCTTGTTAAAAGAGATAGGGAAAGACTAAAGGAATGATTTTCGTAGAAAATACTCGATAACTTTTATTCGTGGATCTTTAGAGATAATCCTTAAATATTCTGTTATTCCCTTTTAAGTATATGAATTGCAATTCTCGTCATCCTTATCCATACATGGGCTCTTCAAATTTATAACCCTTTCGGCGGAATGTCCGTGTATATCCTATTATATGGAGGTGCCCTCCCGGGAGGAGTGGGGGCATCATTTAGATGGACATGTATTTTGCAGTATGTCACTCGGGTGAAAAAAAAACCACAAGGTACATCTGTTATACCAAACAAGACCATCCGGTGTAGACAGAAACTATTTTGAAGTACTTAATCATCACTCTTTCTCTTCTCAGAACACCAATAAAGACTCGTCTTCCAAAGGTAGCTCTGTTGGCGGCCGTGAGATAGGAGGCAGCCTGGGTGACAAACATTCGGCCATGTATGGCTCTATGGGATTGCTGTCAACATCTGGAGCAGTAGCCGCTGTTAACAATACAGTCGCAGCTCAGTTGTCTCGGTTCCAGACCTATCAACCTGCCTCTCTGTCTGCTGTTATGAATTTGAAATCCATAAATCAACCAGCCACTTTATCACGAAACGATCGTCGTGCTCTTGCGTCAGTCGGTATAGTACCATCAGCTCCCACGGGGTTGCCCAAACACAGATACGGCTCAAGAAAACTTTCTACAAGTGGCAGAGCAGTTAACGGCAATCCAGATTACGACTGGAGATCAGGATCAACGACTGGTATCGAGGCCAGTAGCCTTGCTTATAGTTTGATTGATCCTAGACTCGATAACCAACCAAACACCTCGCTCAGACGCCGGTCTTTGAGCGCTACAGGGCTTAAAACTTGTGGTGATTCCACTCAAGGAACACGCGTGGTCAATCCGCGCGTTTTGGCAGCGGGTGGCGTGGCAGGGTCACAGACCAATCTCTCCAGTCCAGGAGTAGTGTCGCCTGGTGTTAATGCGCAGCAGTATATGTGTTCGATGTACGCGTTTCCCAACGTGCTTAAAGTGGCACCGCAGCCTCAAAATGGAATGAACTTATCTGTGATATCTGGCCCGGCGCCTGTCAATTATCGACCAAGTCCAGCCAGTAGTAGTATATCAGCCGAACAGTCTAGCTCGTCCCACAGGTTTACAGGATCGCCATCAGCGCTCATGAGGTGAGCTTCGTTACAAACCACCCTTCAGAGCTCTTACCGATGGGATAGCGTGAACCAAAACCAAAGTAATTGTAAGGACTAGTGACAGGGAATGAAAATGTTTCAAAGGGCCCGTGAGATTTCAAAGGAAAAACAAGCAAACTGCCAGAAGCGCGGGAAGACGCGGGTGATCAGGTTGTGATTGGTTTTAATTTTGAGTCTGATTGGTTAAGAGGGCGGCGCGAGTTTTGTGGACCAATCACAGGAAGCAAAACCAAAACAATCCTGGATGACTTTCGGCTTCCTCTATTGCCCAGTCCTAATCAGGCCATGTTCGTGATTCCAAGTCTAGATTGTTTTTCGACGTGAACCCCCCAAAGTAATTTCAACCGTCAATCAGGGCAAGGGTAAAGAGAAAAAGATAATATGGTTGTTGAATGATCCTAGATGCGGGAAAACGTTCGACGTCAAACGTTCTAGTTTCACACCTGATTGGCTTAGGGAAGATTCTTCGATCACGGAAGCAAAACCAAAGTAGCCCAGGATTACTCAGTCGAAAATCCGGCTGGTCGACACTTTGAAGATTACTATTTATACTTGATTTTTATGCTCGAAGCTTCATGTTTAACAGCCATAGAAATGAATGGTCACTCTAACCGTAATTGATCCTATGCAGGTCAACTAAAGCTCAAAGAGCCCGCGGAGCTACCAACAATATGCGCCTGAAGGTAATTCATTATTCTTTGACTATCTTATTAAAAGTAGTGTTTGATCTGTTGGGCTTCTAACCTGACACGAGCAGGTAATCGATGAAACCTGTATGTCATTGTCATAAACCGCAAACGGAGAGGACTTACTTAGTGAAGGAATTATTTCCTAATACTCAATTTGCACGGGGTTCTCAAGCGCGGTCATACGCTCGTCCCGGGAAGGAGTAATGAAGCGCGCTTATTTGCCGAACAGCGGCTGGTAATCGTGCAAGTTGTCACCCAGATACTTTTTAACCGTCGTGCTTGAATTAGTCGAAATATGATAGTTCGAAGCCAAATTGGCAAGAAAGTTAAATGAAACAGTATTTTACTATCCTCCCAGAGTACTCAGCTGTCCGCGTAAGAAGCTTATTGTTATTTCCGTCTTTCTCTCTAATTACAGCAACTTGAACTCCGTGAGAATCATGCAGTAGCCTTGAGCTAACGCAGCGGGGGAGCAGCTTCAGTTGACGTAGCTTGTAACAAAGAGATAAGGGTTTGGATTTGGCGTGTTTGACATGAAAAGAATCCCCGGAACAAAATCATGTCCATAGATCATTAAAATAGTGCTTCGTACTTTATGAGAAATGTTAAAGTGAAATTTTTAAGAACCCCATCGAGGAACCTGGATTCAGTGTTTTCTATCTATCCATACGTTCATATCGTAGTTAGTGTAGAAAGTATATAATTTATATAGTAGTTAAGTGTGGAATTTGAGCAATTTTTGAAACTTTGTTTGCGAGAATTACGACTGTTTTAATACAATTGTATATAGTTTGGTATTATCAATAGATTTCATATCTGACTGCGTGGTATTTTTGCTGAAAATGAATGACAATTCTCTGTTTATGGCCAAAGACATTTTCAAAAGTACAATGGTTTTAATCTAAATATATTTGTACAGACTAAAAAGATTCATGGAGGGTTGAAAGAATGATTAAATCTTGATTAAAAGGATGTAAATAATCGTCCTCATCAGAATATGTTTATTGTGTAGAGTAACTCCTTTGCTCCAAGAACCAAGACCCCGTTGGAACGAGGCTGAGCCCGTGGTACACGCAAATTCGGAGATCTACCCCGATCTTTAGCAGTTCAAACATTCTGCCATGTCTGTGTTTGAATTGAATTTTAAAAAAACAAAATTTATTTAGAGATTGACGAAAAAATTGATTTACTATGCGCAGAAACATTTTTTGCACCCGCCACCGCAATATTTTGTGAACACCACGTAAAAAGCTTGTGAATTTACGGCAAAACCTTCAAATAAGTCAATTAATCAACTTAGTTTAACGAAAGTATTACCAGACAATAATTCAACTGAGAAACTAGTGACCCTCTTTGTGAGCATAACGGCAAAAGTTTGTTCATCACGGCGTCATAGTTAATGAGCATCACGGCCGCACTCATGATTTGAAAACGCCACGGCTGAACTAGAATTCTCGGGAGGAAGCGAACAAACCCCTTCTCATATCTGGCATAAATAAACAATCAGCGGATGGGTACGTAATTGAAAAAGAGAAGGCGATTCGCGATATCTTCAAGAAGGGATGCATTCAAGATGAAATATTTGCGCAAAAGATGTATACCTAGGTATTCGAACGAAGATAGCTACGCTGAAAAGGCGCATTAACCCTTTAACCCTTAAGAGTGTCTAACATCTAATCTCTCCGTACCATATCACCCCAGAATCAACATTATGGTTAGGAGAATAAAGGAACTGATCACCAACTAAAGAAGCTCTTGATTGTTAGACAAATTCTCCTTGTCAGCACCCTAGGAAATGTTTAGAGAACAGTATGGAGAATACGTATACTGATATTAGAGTGTAGAGGGGGATACGGTCTGAAAAGAAATCCCTAAAATCTTTGAATGCCGTAAGAGAAAAGACCAGAACCCTCCTGAATAGACCCGTCTGCATGGGAGGACTTTGACGAATTGTGCACACGCTCAGAATGCACGGTATATGTAAGTGTTCTCTGATCTGTTGTTGAAAGTTTTCCAAGAGAAAAGTAGTCTTGAAGGAGCGAAGAAAGCAGAGCGCACTGGCTACATAAAAGAGCCCATAGGCTTACTGAATTTCACTTCCGCCATGGTGTTTTCAAACGTTTGCTGTAATGGTTATTTACTTCTGGCTTGTTGGTCACCTGCCTCTACCTTGATTATAATGGTTTCATATTTCCCGTGATATTCACAAGTTTTTGTAGCGGTGTTCACAAACGTGAACTGGTG